CCTCTTGCATTTTCTACATACAAACGTAGTAAAACTGAGTTCTCTAAAGAAAAAGTGTGCAAAAGTGCAAAATAAAAGTCACACTAACGTTTGAGCAATTTTGATTGGCCAGGATGTCATGATTAGAAGGACTGAAGATTGCAACAACCTAAACACATCAATTTAGGAGTTTTTTATCAAGTGAACAGAGAACATTTACCGTATTTACCCATGTATAAGCCGCTCTCGTAGATAAGCCGCACCCCGAGTTTTAGGAACGTTTTTGAGGAAAAAAAGACGGAAAATAAACTTGTCTCTTTTTGATCGCCACTTGCGATCACAGCTTTCTTTGATTTTGAAGTGCTTTTCTGCTGCTCGATTTCCGTGATCCATGCATTTCGTATGCAATTACAATCAGTTTATTTAACGTGCGCTGTATGATCTTGGAGACATAATTGTTAAGATCATTGATACTAGTAATTGATACTATATTTAAAGAGTTGTTTTTCATTCAAAAGGTAAAAGCAAACTTAGTAAATAACTTGAGTGATATAAATCTCATCGTGCCGCCAAACTTCTAAACATAAGGATCGTGCCGAAACCGTTTCGTATTTCAACAAAATATTAAAGCAGATTGTATTTGTTTAATATAAGGAACAATTTCTTAGGGTTATTTCTTGGGTTTTCAAAATATTTACCCTGGATTCTTCACTTTAAGTGTGACAAAGTCGATTAAATGAACAATGCAAATTAGCATCGCGTTACCAAAACAACTCCAAGACAAAACGATTGAAAATGCTCTCTGTTCGTTGGCTTAATTACCACGCACTTTTCAGTTTGATTTATTGACTTCTGTTTCTCAGAGCTAGATTTTCGGAGAATTTATAGTAATACTGAGAAGTTTGGATTAAAATTTCTGTTCCCGCCGTGTAAAACAATTTTTAATCACATTATGATGTCCTGTCTGCAGTAAGTAGCACCTTGAATGCTAATTTATGCAAATTAGTTTTTATCGGGCATTTTTACAAGTCTTCTCGTAGATAAGCCGCACCCCTGATTTGGGAACGATTTTTTTGGAAAAAAAGTGCGGCTTATACATGGGTAAATACGGTATATACAGTTACACTAGCAAAGACAAACAATGCTGGTTTCTAGTAAAAGACCAAGAATATAAATTAAATTTGATTTTTTGCTGATTGTATAACTATATAATTTGTTCACAATTTGAAATAATTGAAAATACCTTAAACACACAACCAAGGGCTGGCTGTTTCTGACAAGTAACTAGATGAGTTCCTATTCCAAAAGAATTAATTGAATGACCCTAGAATAGGATGAGAGAATAAAACATCAATCGATCATCCATTCAGTCATCCATTCAGTCATCCAATTGATCAATAAATCAATCAACTTATCAATCAATCAATCAATCAACTTGTCAATCAATCAACTTGAATCAACTTGTCAAACAATCAACTTGTCAATCAATCAATCAACTTGTCAATCAATCAACTTGAATCAACTTGTCAATCAATCAACTTGAATCAACTTGTCAATCAATCAATCAATCAATCAACTTGTCAATCAATCAATCAACTTATCAATCAATCAATCACCCAAAGCCAAAGTATTTTCTGGTAATTTTACACATTATTTTTGGCCAGGAAAACACAGGAAGGAACAATTAGAATGATTTCCTACCTGTTGTTTCAGGGACAGTAATGTTTCTTCATTAATGTCATTGCTGGCCACTATTAAACTTTTTGCAAGCCAGGGTCTTGAAAGCCTGTTGGTAAAGAAGAAAAGGAGAGCTCAGTGTAATGGACAAACTCATTTAAAGAACTTCAGGATCAGAAATTAGCAGGTAAAGTGGGATATGGGAGGATCATGATATTTTTGAAGGGGAAGGTTACACACAACACAACATAAAAAGGAAWTTTAAAGATTCTTATAATTTTGCACTGCCTATCTAAGGATCATGCACTCCTTCCCCTTGTTGATTGATCTGAAATGTCAGCTAACACACATACACATACAGATGGATGCTACTTACTTATCAGCTACAAGCTGCAGAGCTTTTCTGACTTCCATAGAGAGATATGCCAAATCCCCRGAGTCCAGTCTTATACCTATTGGTCTGTATCCAAAGTCATCAAGGGCTAGAGCTACAGCACAGTAACATGGGATACCACTCCTGAAACATCAATTTTCATAACCGTCATAGATGATTACAATTTAGCTTTATTTATCTTCCTAGTAATTAACATGACATAAAGTTTGAGTGCCAGTTAGCAAGGGGGTAGTGTATTTATGCCTTTTATAATGGCCAACACTAAATAGCACATAATTATTATATTAGTTAAATAATGCTGACAAAAGGAAACACTCATATAATAATAGATATCAAAGCTAAAGAAAAACCCTTTTGAATCTAAACGTGTCAGAAGAGACAAAAAAGAAAGGAAACTTAAAACTAGTCAGCAATCTATTTACCTAAGCACATGATAGGTATCAACCAAAGCAAGGAAAGAGCTTGGAAACGCAGTAGCATAAGCAACAAATGACACCAGTTCTCCTCGATGAACTTCTTCCTCAAATACACCAAGAACAGGAGCAATTTTCTTTAGCCATGCTTTACTTTCAGTCAACAAATCCCTTGGTTCTTGAGTCTTGTCWAYAGGTTGTAATTTATCAAYGGAAGCTGGTCCTTTTCCATTAAATGAGCTGACAAAGGCATGAGCCATTGTGCCTTTGATTGGGATGCCAAAAAGCTTTCCAGCTAGAACGTTGCTTGTGCCATCAAAACCTGGAAATTAAASGGTAYGTTAAGTGCTCCCATATACAGTTTCTGAAATGTTTGGGTGGCTTTCAATAATATTACAAATATATAGCTATGATATACCTCCAATATAGCAGTATTTTGATGCAGACAAACCACCATCTGGTCCTTGTGCGCGACGAAGACCAAATTCAAGTAGTGTTTTATCCCAACCAGCTGCTAACCGAAACCTGGCTGCATTGGTYGTAACCAAGCTGAAATTCATCAATGAAAAGAATTAGCTATTGATTGAAAAATTCATCAATAAAACAGTTATAACTAAAAAGGTTCAATGAATATAATAAATAATCAAATGAGGCAAGGGAGGGACAGAGAGGAAGGAAGGAAAAGGAAAARAGAATGGAGGAAACGGGAGGAAAAGAAAGGAAAGGACCCAGGTATAGGAGGACTGGAAATATGTCAGTTGATCAGGTAAAACAAGTCACTTTAACAAACAGAGAACCACCTGACAATGAAGTTAGTCAGGTATTAATGGTAGAAGACAGCCAGACAGACTTGCAATCATATGAGCATACAAGTAAAACCCATAGATCAGATGACTTAAGACAGAGAGGAATATTCTCTCTTACACACTTACCTTGCAAAATTGACTAAAGTTAGAAGGGTTGTCTCTAGTAGTTGAACAACTGTTACAAAAAGACGAAGAATATTATTGGCTATATGATATACTAAGAAAAGGCTATAAATGTGTCCAAGTCTTTTTTGTTAAACTTTTTTTTGGTCGCCAAATTATTTGTCCTCAAATCTTGGCTACTCTAACATGGAGAACACAGGAAATAAATTCATTTAAACAGGACTCACAAAGCATCCCATGTCACCACACTCCCTCTCTTGAATAGAATTTTTAACAGGATATCAGAATATTTTAACATAAAAGATAATAGCTGGGGAGGGGGCCAGCAGACAAGCTTAATYATGTGCTATCCAAGCTAGGAATCCAACCAGTATGATGGAGGCGATGACAGACATTTTTACTGAATGAATTACACAGGGTTCCCATTTGGTAGCATSAACATACCTGGCAGTGGGCCTTGGATCCTTATTAGAGGTGTTCTTGGGAAGACAATAGTTCCTTCAGGAACGGCCCATAATTCAACACAACKCATATCAATGGACCTAAGGTAGTCAAAAAACTCACTCTCCGTACTCGCYGGCAGCTGTGACTTTAAATATACAACATCTGGAGAAAAMATTTGGCAAGAAAAACATTAATTATAATACATGTAGATGGCTTTTAAAACTGGAAAATTCAATGAATAATGACTGATTGCAATTAAATGGATGAAAAACAATGGGGATAATGGATGGAATGGCAGATGATTGAATGAATAAAGGAATTCAGGAATGAATGGAYCCATGGTGAATGGATGAATGAAAACAATGAGAATAGGTTGTTATTCAGTTCAGGTGTTTGAATACAAGATCCAGCTGCTCTTCACTGTCAGTAATTCATTCATGCTCAATGCCATGGATATTTTTAATTCAAATAAGACTTTTAGAATCTAAATAATGTACAATATTATAAAAAAGGAAGATTTTTATGTGAGATAATTGTACACTTTTCTAGGAAAACATGAGTGAAAATACGACAATTCTAAGAATTTGATGTAAATGTGATAAGCAAAGTATGCACGTTTATTGTAGAATGTATATGTACAAGTTTATTGTAGAATGTATATGTACAATATTAAAACACATAGAAGACCAACGCTTGAGTGCATCTAGTTCTGGAACAAAAACTATCATTTCATCTCGACTAAGAGATAATGATTTGTGGGTAGTACTAGGCGTTGATTAACGATAACCAAACATTGTTGTACAAATGGATGTCATTATCATGTAAGTTAAGTGAATTTTACTTAGGAACAATAAGCTTACTGTTATACAAAGAAACAAAATGAGTCAAAAATACTTTCAAAACATTACACATTAACGAAAGAAGTTATGCTAAACAATGTGACGAACTAGTTGTTATTGCAAAGAACGAATCTTACTCTTCCATGGAAATGAAAGCATGTGCAACAAAGCGYAAAGAGCTTTGAAATGGCAAATAAATCAAGTAATCTTCATATAAGTGTCAAATTATTAAAGTTCGCGAAGTTCGCGATCACGATCGTGCAATTTATGGAGCGTGACATAAACTTGCAATATTCATATTAAATAGCTTGAAAACTTGTTCAGACCAGACATTTGCATCAGTTATTAAGCTGAACGAGCGGCAATCTACCTTTTTCGGTGATCGTCCAAGTCTTTAAGAAATTCAAACACTCTTCGAGGCCTGCAAACACGGTGAATTCTCCGCGGAAGGGGTTTCTTCTGAAAAACAGGTCGAAAACTGCACTATCCTTCGTCTTTCCACTCTTCCAGTACGCATAYACCATTGTAACTTGGTAGAAATCTGTAAGAAGGGGTTGGATGACTGGACTATGCCAATCCATGATCTATTGAAATGCTATTATTTTCTTAATAATATAATTCTAGCTCTCTCCTTCGCGTCCCGCGATGACAACCCGTTCGAGAGGGCATGGTAAGTAGAGTATCATTCAGTCGATAAMACTTCGTATTCAACTCGTTGMGYATTCGTGARAATTTCAAAATGGTGGAYCGATAGATATATTTTAGTGTTTATCGAAATTCTTATCTTGTTAATATGATTAGGATTACAAAGARGCTTCCAAGGCAATCTTGGTTGACTAAAGATTTCCCGGTAAGAAATATATGGTGAAATTTCCGGTAAATGTTACCCTTTCTGATCTGTTCTTCAAAAATTATGGTCTTAAATGGACGTGAATGATCATTTTTAACATTTCTCTTATAATTAAGCTAATAGCAATATTCAGAAGTGCTTCACARAATCATAAAAAGAAGATAAAAATAGTTGAAGTTGGTCCAAGAGATGGTCTTCAAAATGAAAAGGTAAATTGTGGATCAGGAGCTCAGTGATGGTGAGGGAGCTTTAAGGGGTCATCTTCAAATGAAATCTTTATATTGTAATATTTTTTTACTTTTCAGGTTAATGTACCTACTGAGGCAAAAATCAAGTTGATTGACATGTTATCGCAAACTGGTTTACCAGCAGTTGAAGCAACAAGCTTTGTGTCCCCTAAGTGGGTACCACAGGTGCGAATATTAGAGCGGATTTCGTATGAGTGTGACACCAATACCGCACGGTTACCGCACAGTTACCAGACTTGGCCTTCACAATTTTGTTGAACCAATGGGGCACTAGAATTTGGTTACAGTACGATTACGGTCACAGTACAGTACCGTCTGTTTCCCACTCATACGAAATCCGCTCTATAACTGCACCGTTTTCATACTCATTATCAAAAGGAAGKGTAAACAGAGGAGGTTAGCCTAAGCCAGCCAGTCAGTGTGCATWTTACAGAATAATGTTTGAAAAGATATGGACGACGCCAGATGAATTTACATGTAGTTTGTCCAATGTTTGTATAGATGGGAGATCATTGTGAGATCATGAAGGGTATCACAAGACAGCCATTAGTATCATATCCTGTACTGACTCCCAACCTCAAGGGTTATCAATCAGCTGTAAGTTGCTTTCAGTGTTGATTGCAATCGACTAATTGCTTGATAATTTGCTTGATTGATTGATATAGATTTGATTTGCTATTTCACATTGTTTATGYGATTGCTGATAGCGTTATTTCTCTTGAATTTTGATGATAGCTAAATGGAATAGTGGTGCTCATTGATTATGGTTTTGATGATTCTGCTGTAACTATTGTTAATTGTGTTAATCATTCYCTACAATCAGGTTGCAGTTGGTGCCAAAGAAGTTGCAATCTTTGGAGCTGCATCTGAATCATTTAGCAAGTAAGAATAGCTTTTGCAGACCTTGCAGCAATTTCTCCATAATAACAATGCATTTGTATATTAAAGACTGATTTATTGGAAGCCATGTCTGAATCATAATTTAATACATTCACAAGGAAAAATATAAACTGTTCAATTAAAGAAAGTCTTCAAAGATTTGAATCAGTATGTGAAGCAGCAAAGTCTGATGGTATTCTTGTGAGAGGGTAAGATACAATCGATATTTTTACGTCAAATAAATTAGTTACTTTGATACAAACATCTACCGCGCTTTGTTAGGTATGTGTCATGTGTTGTTGGTTGTCCTTATGAAGGYCATATTAGTCCTGATGCAGTGGCAGAGGTAATGAATGATTGATAAATTAAAGATTTGTAACTGGTGGAAGCCCTTTAGACTCCTAGTGAGGTCTCTAGAGGAGGCTTTTAATAAAAAGAATTTCAATTATTATTATTAAAATACCAGCAAGCAAATTTACAAATTGATGAATGATGTACAAGATACATTTACATGTAAATGAATTGAATGTATCAAGGCTCCCCTGCCAACATCTCTCCAGCTTCTTTAACTTTTTGTGGGTTTGGGCTTGTTGTTTTTCAATATACTGCATGTGGTTATATGGRATTGCAGGAATTCCTAGAAATGTAAAATAAATGGTTTAATGGAATTATGATGGATAGTTGCCGTAAAAAGATAAATTTGAACCATATTAAAGTGTCAAATTTATCTTTTTACAGAACTGTTTCTTTAGAAACATTGACACAGCTTGCACAAGTTTACCRCTCGTCTCCACCTTCATGATGAATACATGCATAAAACTGTTTTTTTTCCTTCTTATATCTTTTAACAAGGTATCCCGTATTATGTTAGAAATGGGCTGCTATGAAATCTCACTTGGTGACACAATAGGTGTTGGAACTCCAGGTTAGTTACCATCCATAAACAACTGACAGAACTGAGATGATTTCAGATGACYGTTCTGTTTTCTTCATAATTTCTTCCAGGAACTGTATCTAAGATGCTAGAGTCTGTAGCTAAAGATATCCCAGTAGATAAATTAGCCATTCACTGCCATGATACATATGGACAAGCTCTTGTGAACATACTTACAGCAATTCAGGTAAACTTTTGATGAGTGTTTATTTAGCTGGATTATTAAGTACATACGGATGAATATGTTGTTGTCTTTTAAGCTATGGTGGGCAAAACATATGAGACTGTCGACTTGTATTTTGAATTTGGAAAAATTGGTGATGTTCTTATTAGAGATCCTTCATGACCATTTTGAAAAGACGCTCCATTACATAATCTCCAGGACACTTAACATTGTTCTGGGATGCAAGTAAAAGCTCACAATAGTCTCCCTCATGGTTACCTGTGCCATCTTGAAAGGTAGCCGTGCCTTTTGCATTGAAGCAAGACAACCGTTGAGCCTACAATGGTAGAAACCGTCTATAAGTGTGGAAGAGGGTTTCTATCATTGCATGTCTCGCTTTGATGCAAAGGCATGGCTACCTTTCAAGATGGCACAGAGGACCATGAAGAAGACAATAGGTCTAGCTATAAATAGTGCATTGTAATTCAGTATGTTTTCCTGTGTTTCTACAGGCTGGTGTGCGGACTGTAGATGCTTCTGTCAGTGGTTTGGGAGGCTGTCCATATGCTCAYGGTGCTTCTGGGAATGTAGCAACTGAAGATGTTGTTTATATGTTAAATGGGATGGATTTTGAAACAGTAAGTAAAAAAGAAAAAAAAAATGAAAGAGCACTTAATAGTAAAATCTGCGACCCACCTTGTCGATACAAACCACAAAAATCTTCACAGATTAAGCAAAAACTTGCTCAGAACCACATTCTAAAGAGTATCATTACTTTCTTTTGTATTTTAATTGCACAGTTTGCATATTTTGTTTCAGGGARTAGACTTAAACAAGTTAATGATGGCTGGGGATTTCATATGTGGTGTAATAGGAAAAACTACTGGTTCAAAGGTCACACAGGCTCTGAAAAAACAATAATATTAATAATGTTACAGGGATGTCAACTCTCACGAATGAAAAATATATAAACTGATTATGCAATGTCTAATCCTATCAGAATATGACGTGATTTATGATGTCATTCACATGGTGTGACGTCATACACATAATCGAGGTAATTTCTCCAGATATATAAAGTTCGGGGGTTGACATTCCTGATGTTATGAAATCAAGTATTTATTTGAGGTTGTAAAAATTAGATCCAATAAAATGCTGTCAATCAAGATGATGAATAAAATTTAATGTTGTTTCTTTATTGCACAACTTAAAATGGTGTCAAGTTTTAGAAGATAATCTCAGGGAGAGGGGGTCTGACCCCTATATATGAGAGTGTGGAGATGTTCATGATTATTTATTGAAAATGGCCGGCTTAAGGATACCGAAAAGGGTGTGAGCTCAAGGATGTGGCAGAAAATTATTTTTACCCCAAAGGGTATCAACAAAAATAATTACACTTTTTATTAAACACAGCATCCTCGTGTCATCTKGCCCATAAATGAAAAATAAATAATAAAAAAACAGCCAAAAAAACCCTTCATTATCATTAACTTTTGATTGACGACTAACGGAACATTTTGGGATCCCTGTGCGGTGCGCTGACCACACGAATCGCAGGCTTTTCTGATCATCAGGAAAAATTGACATGGACACTAAAGCAAAGCGAAGAATTCTTGCCGCAAAAAGAAAAGCTAGACCAGGTAAAAATACGCTTCTGAACATATGAATACTTTAACGAAATGAATAATTTGACAAATTKGCCGYTGTGGTCCTGTGTAATTAAATATAATACCTCACATGGATGAACATAGTTTTGGTCAAAAATCAGAAAGGTGGCCATGCTGTCCTTGTTCAGGATAGGACAACCCAACTTTGTGATCATTTGAAATTCGGTACATGTTTGTGAATTTTGTTCATTGACAAGCTTTTGGGATATTTCTAAAAGCTATAAACGACAATGTTTACAGAAATCGTATCTTGTCAACTTACTATGATTAAGCTTATTTAAAATTAAAAAAAGTCGAAAAAATTACGGTGCATTTAAGAAGGGGATGTAACGTAAAGCTTCTAAAACTAAACTTAAAACTTCATCTTGTATATACTGAAATTATATAATATTTTAAAACCAGATATGCATGTATTTGATTCTTTTTCAGAGCTGAAAGATGAAATATCATGGTGTAAATATGATTATGCTAAGAACTTTGACGTCAGCCTTGAGTCAGTYCATGATAACATACAGCGAGTTGACACAAGAACGATATCACATTCAGAATTTGTTGAAAAATTTGAAAAACCACGAATACCTGTCGTCCTGACCCATTCAATCGATCACTGGAGAGGCTATCGGAAGTGGACAATAGAGAAGCTTGCAAGGAAGTATGGGAATCAGAAGTTTAAAGTCGGAGAGGATGATGATGGTTACTCAGTGAAGATGAAGATGAAGTATTATGTGGAGTATATACAGAATAATAATGACGACAGTCCATTATATATCTTTGATAGCTCATATGCTGATGTAAGTATTTAGTACAATGTAGGTTTACCATCACTTAAAGTAAATAGCAGTCCTACTGGAACAATATCTTCAAAAATTACAAAATCACAAAATATAACAGGCATTAATTTCACAATAAAATTATTATGTTGTTTGTTTAGAATCCAAAGAAAAAGAAGTTACGAGATGACTATGAAATTCCCAGGTTTTTTGTGGATGATTTATTCCGATATGCAGGAGAAAAACGAAGACCTCCCTATAGGTAAGAAATTAAACTCAACAGCAGAGGTGCAGAGCCAGGTGGTCACGCAACAGACCAACCTGACAAGAAGTGTACATGACAACGATGCACAGACAATTTTGCTACACAATTTTCTCAAACAAAGCATGACACTGAAATGTTATTACATTGTACATCACCTATTTTTGTCTAGTCTCCTATCGCAGCCGTTAGGACGTGACCTGGGAACGAACGTCCTAATGGCTGCGAGAGGAGACTACTATTTTTATCTTCATTTATTTTTGTTTTGTTTTGTTTTTATTTGCAAAAAATGTGAGCAGTATTGCTTTTCTGTAATAATGGCCATA